ATGGCTGAATTATTCAATAGCATTGCCAAGCCTTCAGGATAAATTCAGAATCCCTTGTTTCCATAAGCTGCTAACCTAGTCGTTGCTTACCCTCACACTGGTCTCCAGCTTCCTTTACTCTGGCCATTTGTAGTTTCCCTGAAGGTCATGTGGCTCTTCCTCTGATGGAGAATGTTCTGTTCTGTCCAATGTTTGCTCTTCAATATTTAGCCGAGGCATTCTCTCTGCGCCTCACTCCCAGGCCAAGATTCTGCTCTCCCTTCTCTGCTCTCAGAGCTCGGACACCTTTGCGGAGCCTGGATCCAGCTGTGCTGAGTTGTCTATGTGCTGATCCTTAGCAGCCTGCAAGTGACTTTCAAAGTTACACTCACAGCACCCAGTGTAGCCATTAGAGCTGGTATTCGACAAAATTGCTGAATGAAAGAAAGTTAAATTCTGAGGGCAGAGAGTGATTAGCTGCCAGCAAGATCCAGGGAAAGCTTTTTGGAGGTAAGAACCCTTAAGTTGATGTTAAAGGATGTTGTGCAGCCATTTCTTCTGCACTGAAACATTACTTCCTGCAGGGAGGCTCATAAGGCCCAGGGGGCTGGTTTCTAGATTCACAGGCCCCTCCTCAAGGTTATAAGTAGTAACAGTTGGTGGGGGAAGAAGACTCTCCAGCCAGCTAAACTGCCTTGTAAATTGTGCCTGGGCACAGCCTTCCCAAGTCGCCACCCATGTCGGGGTGGGCTTGTGATGAACCTGCCTTTTGTAAGTGATCCCACAAACTCACTGGTTCACTAAAATAGACTTAAGTGGGATTATTTCTTTGATCTGGGTCAGTTTCTTTCCCTCTTCACCTGGGAAATAGGTGAATAGGTGCGGAGTTAGAAGTAAAAGAAATTGCTTATAAAGGCTTAGTTAGGATGGTACCCAGCACAGCTAGAGCTCAATGCAGCATTTTAGGCAGACATGTGACAGTCTCTGTCCCCAAATAGCAGCTTGGGTTACAGATGTGGTGAATGAGGAAAGTTGGCATGGGATTTTGGAGATGACCAGTAGCTGGAATGGGGAGACAAAGGGATGCTCAATTGCATGAGCTTTATTACCACATATTATTCCTAAAACTGCATTATGAAAAAGTATGCAGTAAAACCAGAGGGCATATGAGGAAAAGAGGTAGAAGCACAATACTAAAAATTTTAGCCATTATGGTAAAGGGATTCTAATAAAACGGCTACTTCATCCATTCCATGGTTAAGGAATGCACGTGAACTGCAATATACTTCATCCTATGACTGGACGTTGCAGCAGTCGGAGCAAGTTCCAAATGGTGTTGTGGTGGAGGGGTGCCTGAGATCTGAGGGGAAAGTGGTACTACCAGATACATGTGGGGTGCTTTAAACAGAATACACTGAGGTAGTGGGAAAAGATCTGATGTTCTGTGTGTTCTTCAGCTTGGTTAAGATGTAGAGTTTTCTGCACTTACCCAGTGTTCTTAGAGTCACATAGAAACAAAGACAACTATTATATTATGCTTAAATTATTCCCTAATATGTCAATTGCACCGGGACAAATTTCTGGTGTCTTTTTGTTGCTTTTGTAATGCATTGCATTTATAAAACAAGTGTTACAGGAAAACTGACTATGTCTTAGATTACAACTTGCTTCTTTCCTGAAAGAACTGTATCTGAGGCATGAATCAAAGGAACTAGTTCTTGGTAGAGTTGGATGGGGGTGAGACGACGATTAGGACTCAATGAAAAATCAAATTAGAGTTCTGGTTACTTGAAAACACTGCACCATACATAGGGTACCCATACAGTTCAATCACGAGTAGCTTCCCTCACTATGAACATCTTTCAGTTTGGACAATGTATAGTCATCAGAGCTATTAAGCATTCTGGGGGTCTAGAGGAACAGATTCATGAGTCAGTAAGAATGTGTTTGTCCACATCCTGGGTCACAACAGAAGTCACTGTGTTTGGGGTCCATTCTGCTTTACGGTCCTCACTGCTAAGGGCAGAGTTCACTTTTGAGATTAACCATGGTCTGTGCCTTAGATTATCAAATAGTTTAACCTGGAAGCATTTATGAGTTGTTCCTTGCATTAAGAGCTGTGCTCTTAAAAATGAGCAACAGTGCTGTGGAAATAAAAGAATGAATTTTCATATTCCAGTTAAAAATTTCCATGTTTTGAGATTATGATTCTACATGAAAAAGGGGAATCTCAAGAGACAAAACTAAACTGCTTTAGGTGCCAAGCCACATCATCATCAGCTGAGAAAGAGTAGACCTACACCCCCACATCTACTAGATAATTCAGGTAAGATATATTGAGACTTGGTGATTGAATTAATCAGAGTCAGTTAATTTTTAAATAGGTCACTTTAGAGAAATTAGTGAATTGCACACATGTCAACTATTGTAAGAAATTGATCACAAACTGTAAAATGAATAAAAGATTATTTTTCCCTTAAAACACATTTAATATTAAAGCAGCTTGTTTTAGAACAACCTGCCAAGGCAATGTGTGGCTAGATGGTGGGCTTCTGTTTTTCTGCGAGTCATTTCCAATGAAAATTTGTTTGGAAGTTTAATTTCATTGACATCAAATAACATATTTTAACTATTATATATTTCTTTGCTTAGATGAAATTACAAAAACAATAAAATGGAAGGTAAAAGGAAATTTAAGGAATTCTCAAGGTAAAAAATAAAAATGCTTAAAAATTGATATGCTTGGTGCTGGAGAGATGGCTCAGCGGTTAAGAGCACTGGCTGCTCTTGCAGAAGACCTGGGTTTAAATCCCAGCACCCACATGGTGGCTAACAGCCATCTGTAACTGCAGTTCCATAGGATCTGACACCCTCTTCTGCCTCCACAGGCATTGTACAACATGGGTACACTTACACACATGCAGGCATAACACTCATACACATAAAATAAAGGCAATGTGTGGCTAGATGGTGGGCTTCTGTTTTTCTGCGAGTCATTTCCAATGAAAATTTGTTTGGAAGTTTAATTTCATTGACATCAAATAACATATTTTAACTATTATATATTTCTTTGCTTAGATGAAATTACAAAAACAATAAAATGGAAGGTAAAAGGAAATTTAAGGAATTCTCAAGGTAAAAAATAAAAATGCTTAAAAATTGATATGCTTGGTGCTGGAGAGATGGCTCAGCGGTTAAGAGCACTGGCTGCTCTTGCAGAAGACCTGGGTTTAAATCCCAGCACCCACATGGTGGCTAACAGCTGTCCTAAGTCCAGTTCCGGGGGATCCAACGCCGTCTCTGTCCTCTGTGGGCATTGCACAATGTGTGCACTTACATCCATGGAAGGCATAACACTCATATACATAAAATAAATTTAAAAAACCCAAATTATAAAAAGCCGATATTCCACAAAAGCATTTCACACCCGAGAGGCTGAGACTTGCATGCGATTGAACTTCTTCATTAACTGAACATTAGACATGCAAGTTGATCATGAAAGTCTGTTCTAGGCCAGAATAACAGAAGAAAAACTCCATGAACTGGAACTGCAGCAGTGATAAGGGAGAAACTCAGAAGACACGGTTGTTTAAGTTCCAACTTTCACTAGGTGTATGACCTTGGACTCATCATTTAACAAGAGTTTGTTATTAACTCTAAAAATAAGGGGGTTAATATTCTCTCATGGGCTAATGAAAGAGACAAAATGTGTTCTGTGCACTGCATTTTAATAAATGGGTAAAGGTACCATTTGAGCATTTTAAAAATTATGAAAGCTTCAAATACTTTTTTTTTTTTTTTTTTTTTGGTCTTTTTGAGACAGGGTCTCCCTGCCTCTGCCTCCTGAGTGCCAGGATTAAAGGCGTGCAGCAACCCAGTTCAAATACATTTCTTTCAAAGATAAACATGTAAAACTTCCAGTCACTAGTAAATTCACTGCATAATATGGTTTAATGCTTTTTAACAACTGAAATATTTATAGCATCAACCACACGGCATAGCAGACTAGCAGACACTGCCAATGCTCACCAAATAGCTGTTTATACTTCCTAATAATGTTTGAAGTTAGGCTACAGGTGAAAGGCTTGCATCTTTCAGGAATGGACCTTAAAAAGATCCCATTCCATCCACCAGCCTGCTCCTCTGATTTGACAATGCTCAGGACCACTGCTCTAAGTGACTGAACTGAAGATGGAGGATTGCCTGAGCCACAGTGAACTTACGTGAGATTTGAGCTTTTCCCATCATGTTGTATGGCTTTAAGCTTGTTATTTTTAGCATGACCTATTCTACCCTAAGACTGCAAAGATTCAAGCAAGAATGGGAACACCATCATACAAGGATTTTATTCACGTTGAGAGGACCTGTAGAACCCAAATGTTGGTCCATTTATGACAGAAGGTAAAGGCCTTGAAGAGTTGCTAAAAGCTCTTACAATATGACGGTAATGAAACCCTTTGGAAGATTGCTAAGAACTTTGACCCTGAGAAGTCCCAAGATAAGAATGGGGAAGGTGAAACAGGGCTCTTCCCCCACCCACTGCAGTTACCCAGAAGTCTTTGTTTTCCAAAACTGCCACAGTCCTGTAACCTTTGGCCATATGTTTCCACTTATCAGGTATGTGTTATTTGTCCTTTGCCTGCATTTCTCGCATGCGAGTATAAATGCCCCCAAAACTTGAGCTAGGGGCTGGCACCATTACAGATGATCTGGGTGCCAGTCCCGCTCGCGTAAAAATAAACTCCCTCTTCTCACCTGACTTTGGCTGCTGATCTCATCTGATTTTTCCATAACACATTCCTTCCAATGAAGAAATGTGCTATTAAAATTCATCAGTATTTCAATATTTCTCAACAACCAATATGCTGTAAACATTACACCTGGTACTAATATTTCTAAATTCTAAAGAAGGGGCACTGAGGTCTTTGTGTGTTACTGATATTACAGTATTTCCTAAGCCCTCCGAATTGCATTATTTCTAACTAAAGTTTCATTAAAAGAACTTCAAATTAGTCATTTGGTTTTACATTAAATAATTTAATCAACAGTCCATTCCACTCTAATTTACATTCAACTCCAGGAGGGAAAACAATCAACTGCAACATTTTTAGACAAAGCACAGGGACAACCTGTTCCATTAACCTTACCTGCATAGCTCACAACTTTTCAATTGTTTTCCCACTAGATGACAGCCACCATCTCCTGGGGGATAGTCTTATCTGCTTTGTATGTCAGCTTTTGTGAAAAAACAAACCCAGTAAAACAATAAATCTCTTCCATCCTACTTCCCATCACACACAACAGCAGGATTCATGTTTACTGTCAATGGGCGAGTGGACCTGAACTGTGTGACGAATATGCTACTGATTTATCACCACTAAGGTTTCACAGCTGGTACTCCTCTCAGAGATTCTCAATGACAGGGCATGTCCCCATCCCCTCATCTTCAGGGACGGATGTAACAAACCGTGACATGTAGCAGGGACTCCATCAAAACTTTCCAAATGAAGAGTGAACACAGAGATGGAAAAGGGTGTTTACTAGAGTTCCATGACCCATACTTTAACTCCAATCTAAGAACACAATTTACACCTGTATATACACTTTGAAGAATTTTTACAACAGGGAAATCACAGAAAGGCCTTGCTACTCAGAGCTCCACGCATACACACTTAAAAGGCCTCTCCTGGGGGCCCCAGGAGCTTTCATATGGTCAACAGGGGAGGTCAAAACTGAATTTCAGACACTCTCCTTATCAAGCACTATAGAATAGATTTTCTCATAAAAATTGTGTTATCACAAGTTTTTGAACCATCCTGGTTTGCTAGGGTAGGAGTCATAGAATTCTGTCCAAGTAACAATAGCATTTCATTTATACGATGAGGTGACAATTTGCCGTGGATGGTCCTGTAAACCCAATCATTTAATATATTGCTTCTGTAAGAAAATACCCATTTATTAAACCTTAGTTATTATTTTCTGGTGTGATTAATTTTTCTATTAAGCATCTAATAACCACAAATTACAATTATTTAAAGGTAGAAAACTATCTCAAGTTTTCACTGCCATTTTTATGCTTTGAAAATTCAAAATGGTTATGTCAAGTATGTAAAAACAAATGAGGTACAAAGTTTCAGATCTTCATATTGATAAACAAAAAAACCCTGTCAAATTATCCAGAGGCTTTCGAGCCAAGAGACACCATGGCACTATCATCAAGTCATAACACCAGCATGGCTGTGTTGTTTGTACACTGCAAATGCCTACAAAGGAAGAGAAACGAAATCCTGAGTGTCCTCGTGTAGACTCATATTCCCAACATGGAAACCATTCAACTCTCTAGGAAGTTTGGGTGATATGGGATTTCAGAACTGGAATGGACAGAAAAACAAAAGTGAGCTGGGGAGATCCTCAACTTCTGACAGATCGATGCAAACACCAAAGGTGAGCTAGGGAGATCCTCAACTTCTGACAGATCAATGCAAACACCAAAAGCACAAGGTCTGGAGCGTTTACCATTAAAGTCTCACATTCCTTTCCAAGACGATAATTTAACCCACTGTGAAATGGAAACATACAACAAAAAACCAGATAGATGCTCCTTTCTAGAAAACCCTCCTCACAGAATACAGCATGACTCAGATGAAAAATGAGAACGTTTACTTCTAGAAAAGTCTGTCATGGAGACCCCCAAGGGAATCCTCAACAAATATATAAGTAATTACTAAAGAACTTTGATTGCCTTTCTTCAACAGCAAAACCATTCTATCCCAGCAGCTAGCTTCCTTCCTCTGGAATACAGTAGTAGTTCTGAAATGCTGCAGTATTTTAAAGAGTAAAGAAGTGATTGTGATCGTGCACCAGGCTGAAGGTATCACTAACGTTCAAGAGCTCAGCTAGCTCTTAGAACTAGAAGTATGGTTACTACTCAGTACATTTATTCAGTAACAAAGCCTCGTTAGATAGTGATCTTATCAGCCCTAGAAAAACGGCTGTTGCTACATAATTCCACAGTCATACATAGTGAATGGACAACACAAGTTTTCTTTTTTGGGTAGTGTGATGAATTTAAATGCAACAGCTACAAACAGGGTTTGTGTATGTAAATGGCTGAGCTTCTAGGAAAGAGGAAGGCAGAGGAGACTAAACTACCACATCAAGCAAGGACTTGTGTAGGGTTCTATGTACAGAGACAAGCAGGGTTAGGCACTTAAAAGCTTTTGGATGAAAATCCAGGAGAAGAGCTTGGGCCTAGGTCTACATTTATTATTACTACCAATAAAAACATACTTTCATGAAGAAACATGCAAGCAGAATCATGAGAGAAAAAAAAAAAAAGCTTAAGATTGTTCTGTAAATGAAAGATTGTCCAGAGTAACATATCTGGATTATAAAAGTCAATGTTTTTACATTGCCTCAGTTCTTTATTAATGGTATCTAATTGAAAAAATTTTAATTAAAAAATTACTGGCAATGATCTAAAGCCCCGACTGGTACAGATACAACTGCACTGATACCATCTGGTAAGGAAATACCACCATCCAGACAGTGTGAGCATCTTCTATCATCCAAATATCTGAAACCACGATTCTTATACTGCTATTCAAAGGTACTTAGTTTTGCCTCTATTACTCCATTACCAACACTCCTCTTAGAAATTATAATATCCACATATATAAAATAAAAATATAATGCTTTAAAAATCTCAAAAATGTCATGTAGTAGCACTCATTATCTAAACTCAGCTTCCTGGAGTAACTTTGAACTTTTATCGCCCAGATGGCTTAAAAAAAACTTTAAATGTAACATGGCAGTGGTTCTAATATATCTGTAAACAGAATACCACTAACAAACTTTTACTGGCATGAGATACTATAATTATAGTGTGAAATTTTTAAACCTTAAAGCCTCTTAACATAATCATGTATCTCTATGTACAAAACATACATAAACTTCACTTTATTTAAAACATATGAAAGAGGTAATTCCAAAATCACACTAAACATAATAAATATAGAACTTGCTTTGTAAAAATCTACAGTATACATTCAAGTAAAGGCTAAACTTCCAATGCCAACTATATTTGGGACAAAAATTAAACATTTACAATAACCAGTTTCCTAAAAGTGCTATTTTTCAATACCTATAAGAGGAAACGCATTCTAGTGCTTTTGTTTCCTTCCAAACATCATACATTCCTTTATTCACAGAACCAGATGCTTCTGTTACTAAAATACATATCCAAAGCTTTTGTATCCTTTGAAATAGCTTAGCATTTCAACTCTTTGGGGGAAGACAGGGGAAGTCCAAACAAACAACTCAGACCACCTTAAGTTAGAGGACTGACTTTATGGTTCACCCTGTTTTAACTTAGATGCGAAATCTGATGCATGTATTAATGAAAAAATTCCAGTCCATGTATCTAAGGCAGGTTATCGCTCTCTGCGTGAGAATCTTTGTAGGTTGAGGAGCACCTGCTGTAGCAGCCTTCCCTCGACCCAGGTCTCGACACCACACTCCACTTCGGATTTGCACACTCTCTTCCAACTTCATTTCGTTTAGTCTCGTCAGGAGTTATATTTAGCACATTGATTGAACTGTTGGGAAAAGAAAGAAAAACTTTAGTAATAATTAGCCCCTTGTTCCCTCTATTTCAGAAAGTTTGATTGCCCCATGTCTCCTGCTAATAGGAAATTGATTAAGAAAATGAAAGAGGAAGGATTTCAAAATGGCCCTATTTATGCCTTCTGTCCACCCATTGATTTATCTAATGTGTATTTTAAAAAATCCTTCAGTGAGCAGGGTGTGGTGGTGCATGTCTTTAATCCCAGCACTTGGGAAGCAGAGGCAGGATGATCTCTGTGAGTTCGAGGGCAGTCTGGTCTACATAGCGAGTTCCAGATCAGCTGGGGCTACAGGGGAGACCCTGACTCAAAAAGATCGCCCCCCGCAAAGAAAAGTCTTCTTTGAAGCATGATATCCAACCAGCTTCAAAACAAAGAATCTATTCAAATGATGACTTCAAAACCTGTGGACTTGAGCTAATGAATAATAGATTTTTATCAATTGAGTAGATTTTTTCATAATTTTTTTCTAAATATATATGTATTTCTTATGATTGTTATTTATTAACTTAGCCTCAGAATATAGCAATGCCAAAAAAGTCAGGTTCCTTTTAATTTTAAAAATGAGAACAAAAGCCGGGCATGGTGGCGCATGCCTGTAGTCCCAGCACTTGGGAGGCAGAGGCAGGCGGATCTCTGTGAGTTCAAGGCCAGCCTGGTCTACCTAGTGAGTTCCAGGACAGCTGGGGCTACAGGGAGACCCTGCTTCAAACAAACAAACTAACAAACAAACCAGCTGCAATGAGAAAAAAAAAAAAAATTAAAAAAAAAATGAGAACAAAAAACTTGGTTAAAATTTACTGATACTTAAAAAAGAAACTTTCTTAAAATAAATCCCGTCCTCAGAATCACAGTGCCTTGGCGCGCTCAGATGAGGGCTATGTGGAACTTGGCTCTGTCAGTAACTTGGTACACTAGTAACCCTGCATGGGACCCATGGCAGTCTTTCTGGTAGGTTCACTCTGCAGTGAGGGAGCAACGAGGATGGTAAAGAAGAGCAGCCTCAGATTCCTGCATCCGTTACAAACCAGAATTCAGAGTGCCTCAGAGCAGGTGATACAAAGTACTTATAATAAAATCACAACCATGTGAAGCCGCATGGCTCTTTGTGTTTGCTCGTTTCATTCTCAGAGGCTACAAGAGCTTCATAGGTGCCCTTAAATTCCAGTTGTTTCTAGGTCACTGATATCTTGTCTATCATGGCCCCCATAGATATTTGTGTTTACGTAGATATCTGAAGTCACTGATGTTTACAATGGACCAAACACTGTTTAAGTGCTTTAATATTTAGTCACTTGTACTCACGACACCTAAGGATGTAAGTGCTAAAAGTTGGATTTCTATCTCTATTAAACACAAAATAATGCCTTTAAAAAAGACTTATGTTAAACACTTCATAAATAAAAATAATTATGCAATACCCTCAGGTCACTCATACACCTCAGTAATCCCTCAGTCATCTCTGTAAGTAAGCTCAGTAAATTCACTGGTTTCCCAGGAAAACTTAATGAAACATTGGTTTGACACTAGAACCTTAGAAGGGGATAAACATTGCTTAATAACCCCAGGAAAAGAATTCTCACAATAGACAGAAAATTTATGTTAATG